TTTTTTACGCAAATTTATAGAGAATTTCGAAAGAATGTTCTATAAATTTTCAATTTATAAAAAAATATATTAGGGGAATTTCGTGTCAAGTGACCCAACTTATAAAACCGATGTCTTCTGATTTTGATGACATTTGCAACAAGATTAGTACTATGGGGTAGTAGGCCAAACACAAATTCAGCTCTATCGAAGGGGTCATAGTTCACATATGCCCCTTGTATCCCACTAATCCATCACAAAGCTCTTAAAGGTAATGGTCTAAGTTTTCTTTGGGCAAAAAAGGGTGACAAAACCGTCCATTTTGAAAAAAATGGGGGAAAATTAAGTGCCAAATATTGAAAAAAAAAATTTATTCTAGAGTTAAAAAAATAAGTTTTTTGATAGATATCCTACTCGCCATTATGGGACTATAAAGCCCTTAAAGAAAATAATATAAGCTTTTTTTAAGCAAAAAAAGGGCTCATTTTGAAAACGATGAAGAAATAGCTATCTGAACTCCTTTGAACAACACTCATTTGAATAAAACCCTGTATGACCAAAATGACCAACTTAGATCCCCTCTAAGTCCGGCAGTTATTGACCGATAGAGCTGAAAATTTGTGTCTGACCTTCGATCCAATAGTATTTCGTCGAAATCGTTGGGTCACTTGACATGAAATTGCCCATTACTAAAATTTCAACAAAAGTTGTTGCTTTAGGACTCTGGCTTCAACTGATAATTGCGCTAAGTAGGTTGATTAGGGCGGCACCTATTTAATGTTGAAAATGTTGCAAAATTAAATTTATACCTAAATAGGAAAATTGTAAATCAATTATCAATTAATTTATTTAATGTCTAAAAACAACCATTATGTCTGAGAAATTTCAAAAACGAATTCAAAATGCTTTATATTATTTTACAAGTGATGAGAATCATTTTTGTAGAACATATGATTATGTCAGACGCGTCTGACTTCTAAATTTTTAAAATATGAGACAATCTAATATAATGACTATAATAAAAATTGTAAGTTATGACAGGTAAACATGTGTACGTCCCTAATGCTACACAATTATTGTCTGCCCCACAAAACTATTTATATGAATGAATTTCAAACAAATTTTTTCAAAAACACAGATCTACCATACATATAGTACATACATAGGCTTACAAACCAACAACACAATTTATTATTATTTTTTATATCGTATTTAATATTTTTTATAATTACAGGCAATATGTTTTTTATTTTCATACATTAAACAAAGCCCTGGGAGGGGGTGTTGTTGATAACGAGATACATTTTAATATAATTGGTACATTTTATATTGTATGAAAAATAAATAGTTGTAGTTTTTACATTTATATCAAATACCACCAAGTAGTTGTTGGTTGATTGTAAATACAAACAATTATATGTTTGTCCCAACACATTTAAACATTCATTCAATCTTTTATTTCTTCATTCATTCATTGTTTTCCTTTATTCATTCATGTATTTAAATGTTTCTTTGTTTTTATTGCCTTTTTTTATAATGGCACATCAGGCGTAAATAATTACAACAATTATTATTTTTTTCATAATTTATTTTGCATATTACTATTTCTTTTTTTTTGTAAAATCATATAATTAAAAAGACATAAAAAGACTTTTATAAGGATATTAATGTCAATAATTAAATTTATGAATACAGAATTGAAATTTAAAATTAAAAAATGGTTATTGTAACTAGTTGTATTTATTTATTTTTTTTTAATTCTGTTTATGTATTTCTTAAAATTGCAATTAAATGTATGAAAATAAAACTATATTCAATTAATTAGCTTCATTATTATTGTTTTACAAATGAGGTGTTAAATTGATATTATACAAACATTTAATATAAATTTTAAGAGAAATCTTATTTCTAAAAATATTTTCTTTGTATTATTAGAATTAAAAATCGATGTTATATCCAAAAAAGGTGCTCTATAGACTAGACCGTAGAATATATATATATATATATATATATATATATATATATATATAGACTAGACTATAGACTAGACTATAGACTAGACTATAGACTAGACTATAGACTAGACTATAGACTAGACTATAGACTAGACTATAGACTAGACTATAGACTAGACTATAGACTAGACTATAGACTAGATTATAGACTAGACTATAGACTAGACTAGACTATAGACTAGACTAGACTAGACTAGACTATAGACTAGACAGACTATAGACTAGACTATAGACTAGACTATAGACTAGACTATACTAGACTAGACTATAGACTAGACTATAGACTAGACTATAGACTAGACTATAGACTAGACTATAGACTAGACTATAGGCTAGACTATAGGCTAGACTATAGACTAGACTATAGACTAGACTATAGACTAGACTAGACTAGACTATAGACTAGACTATAGACTATAGACTAGACTATAGACTAGACTATAGACTAGACTATAGACTAGACTATAGACTAGACTATAGACTAGACTATAGACTAGACTATAGACTAGACTATAGACTAGACTATAGACTAGACTATAGACTAGACTATAGACTAGACTATAGACTAGACTATAGACTAGACTATAGACTAGACTATAGACTAGACTATAGACTAGACTATAGACTAGACTATAGACTAGACTATAGACTAGACTATAGACTAGACTATAGACTAGACTATAGACTAGACTATAGACTAGACTATAGACTAGACTATAGACTAGACTATAGACTAGACTATAGACTAGACTATAGACTAGACTATAGACTAGACTATAGACTAGACTATAGACTAGACTATAGACTAGACTATAGACTAGACTATAGACTAGACTATAGACTAGACTATAGACTAGACTATAGACTAGACTATAGACTAGACTATAGACTAGACTATAGACTAGACTATAGACTAGACTATAGACTATAGACTAGACTAGACCTAGACTATAGACTAGACTTTGATAGACTATAGATAGGGGACTATAGACTAGATTTATAGACTGACTATAGACTAGACTATAGACTAGACTATAGACTAGACTATAGACTAGACTATAGACTATGACTATAGACTAGACTATAGACTAGACTATAGACTTAGACTTAACTAGATATAGGACAGAACTTAGACTAGGACTATAGACTAGACTCATAGACTAGACTAAGATAGACTATTAGGACTAGACTAATAGACTAGACTATACTAGATATAGACTAGACTATAGACTAGACTATAGATAGACTATGACTAGACTATAGACTAGGACTATAGACTAGACTATACGACTAGACTATAGACTAGACTATAGACTAGACTAGACTTAGATTATAGACTACGCGAGATTAATAAACTAAGGGTTCCGTGATTAAATAAACTAAGGGTTCCGTGAAACAAAAATTATGAAAACCGCAGGTCTGGTCTACTCTATTACCTTTTCCTTCACTCTTTCTAGCCTGGTTTACAATTTTTTTTATTTTGTTTCTATCAAAATGCGTTCTTAAGTCCATTAACCTGTAAAGTGTAGGCCATAAAATTTAAATGAACTTTTTTTTTTTTGCTTAAATTTCTTCTGTGAAATTGTTATTTATTGTGTTTTATTTTTATCTAGAATCTCAAGACAGTTTGTTATTAAATTTTTTCAAAAGTAAAATTTTATTAAATAAAAAATATCTATTGACCTCAATTCTTCTGGTTAGTCTTTCTATGTTGCCTATTGCACATTAATTTCGTTAGTGAAATGAAATTAAGTTGTCAAGTGTTTTTTCTATTACGCTTTTTAATGTTGATTGCTATTGACCATCAAACTTGTTTGCAGTTTTTTATATACGAGTTATTTTTAAAATTGTGCTACTGTTTTATCATCTAAATTTTTTTAAGTATATTTTTTAGTGTTAAAGATATGAGAAAAAAAGAAACATTTATTTTATAGGTTTGTGCTAATTTTTGCCAAAAAAATTATGTTTTAAGTGAAACCAGAGTTATCTAATGTCAACTCTGATTTCACTTAAGTAAGTCATTTAAAACACTTTTTTTTTAATTGTTTATCACTTACAGAGTCAACCTTACTTTCTATAACTATTCAAATAATAATTATTTACCTTTACGCTGCTTTTTTATGCCCTTCACCTTCGTGAGGAGGGCATATGAAAATTTGTCATTCTGTTTGTACTTTTTTCAATATAATTTTAAGACCCTTACAGATAGCGAAATCGATTTAGCCATGTCAATCGGTCTCTCTGTCCGTCTATGCAAATTTTTTTTCCGGATCTCTTTATTGGTTGTAGCTCCCATGTAGAGTCCTTTTCAGTTACTCACTTCAACTCACGGAATTCCATCCTAGTAGATGTCATTATGGAATGCAAATTTAACTTTATAAATGTTAATTTCTATAAATATTCGAGGTATTTACAATTAAGTAGCTTATAGGGGAAGGGTGTTTAATATTCGGCATAGCCCTATAACTAGTTATAAATTTAGTTAATTAATTAATTATTTAGTAATTTTATAACAACATACACACTTTTTAAGTACTACAAATTGTTTAACAATTTTGAACAACTTCAAAAATAACACAAATGTAATAAAACATACAAAAACATGATTTAAGTGTTTTTAAAACAAATTATTTATTAAACAAAAACTACCGCGTCATCATCACGAGCAATTTTATCACAAATATCTTTAGATCAACAGTATCATTAACAACAATATTGGCTTTATTTTAAAATAAAATAAAATTCAATTAACATTTTTCTTCTTCATTTCAATTTAGCTGGAAGATATTTTATTAAACAACTGTTTGCCTTCTGGGCTTATAAAATTTAATGTATGAAAGTGACCAGCTGTCTGTTGGTGTTTCTTTATTAATTTTAACACTATTATTAAAGGTATTTTATGTTTGAACATACATATTATAAGTATGTATTTTACTTTTCTTTTCTATATTAAAATATCGTAAATCATGTTACTTTAATTATAAAATTTATTTTTTATCTTTATAGCTTTATATTCTGGAGAACATGATAAACATTTTTAATATCTGGTAAGTGATCTTAACACTTATAGACATTAAATAGTTTAAAAAGTTATTGAGCCCTCTCCTTTAGAGCACTTAAATTTGAATTAGAATAATCCACAATTCTGCTTCTTTGAAATGTCATAGCTACGGATGATTTATTATAAAAAGAATGCATTGATCATTTGAACATTGGTTTTACTAAATCAGTCCATCAACTACAACAACAACTAATACATTGTTCACTTCTCACCTCTCCATTCTTGATACAAATAACAGTTTAATTTAACTAGTCTATAGTCTAGTCTATAGTCTAGTCTATAGTCCAGTCTATAGTCTAGTCTATAGTCTATAGTCTAGTCTATAGTCTAGTCTATAGTCTAGTCTATAGTCTAGTCTATAGTCTAGTCTATAGTCTAGTCTATAGTCTAGTCTATAGTCTAGTCTATAGTCTAGTCTATAGTCTAGTCTATAGTCTAGTCTATAGTCTAGTCTATAGTCTAGTCTATAGTCTAGTCTATAGTCTAGTCTATAGTCTAGTCTATAGTCTAGTCTATAGTCTAGTCTATAGTCTAGTCTATAGTCTAGTCTATAGTCTAGTCTATAGTCTAGTCTATAGTCTAGTCTATAGTCTAGTCTATAGTCTAGTCTATAGTCTAGTCTATAGTCTAGTCTATAGTCTAGTCTATAGTCTAGTCTATAGTCTAGTCTATAGTCTAGTCTATAGTCTAGTCTATAGTCTAGTCTATAGTCTAGTCTATAGTCTAGTCTATAGTCTAGTCTATAGTCTAGTCTATAGTCTAGTCTATAGTCTAGTCTATAGTCTAGTCTATAGTCTAGTCTATAGTCTAGTCTATAGTCTAGTCTATAGTCTAGTCTATAGTCTAGTCTATAGTCTAGTCTATAGTCTAGTCTATAGTCTAGTCTATAGTCTAGTCTATAGTCTAGTCTATAGTCTAGTCTATAGTCTAGTCTATAGTCTAGTCTATAGTCTAGTCTATAGTCTAGTCTATAGTCTAGTCTATAGTCTAGTCTATAGTCTAGTCTATAGTCTAGTCTATAGTCTAGTCTATAGTCTAGTCTATAGTCTAGTCTATAGTCTAGTCTATAGTCTAGTCTATAGTCTAGTCTATAGTCTAGTCTATAGTCTATATTCTAGTCTATAGTCTAGTCTATAGTCTAGTCTATAGTCTAGTCTATAGTCTAGTCTATAGTCTAGTCTATAGTCTAGTCTATAGTCTAGTCTATAGTCTAGTCTATAGTCTAGTCTATAGTCTAGTCTATAGTCTAGTCTATAGTCTAGTCTATAGTCTAGTCTATAGTCTAGTCTATAGTCTAGTCTATAGTCTAGTCTATAGTCTAGTCTATAGTCTAGTCTATAGTCTAGTCTAGTCTATAGTCTAGTCTATAGTCTAGTCTATAGTCTAGTCTATAGTCTAGTCTATAGTCTAGTCTATAGTCTAGTCTATAGTCTAGTCTATAGTCTAGTCTATAGTCTAGTCTATAGTCTAGTCTATAGTCTAGTCTATAGTCTAGTCTATAGTCTAGTCTATAGTCTAGTCTATAGTCTAGTCTATAGTCTAGTCTATAGTCTAGTCTATAGTCTAGTCTATAGTCTAGTCTATAGTCTAGTCTATAGTCTAGTCTATAGTCTAGTCTATAGTCTAGTCTATAGTCTAGTCTATAGTCTAGTCTATAGTCTAGTCTATAGTCTAGTCTATAGTCTAGTCTATAGTCTAGTCTATAGTCTAGTCTATAGTCTAGTCTATAGTCTAGTCTATAGTCTAGTCTATAGTCTAGTCTATAGTCTAGTCTATAGTCTAGTCTATAGTCTAGTCTATAGTCTAGCCTATAGTCCAGTCTATAGTCTAGTCTATAGTCTTTCCTATGCTAGTCTAGTCTATAGTTTAGTCTATTTTTTATAACAGTCGTATATACTTATGTGGTATCATTATGGAATATCTATTGCTGTAGGGCATGACATCGGTCGGTAATTGCTGATAAGTTTGTGTTCTTGGGAAATTAATAGAAAAATATTGATTATATTTTTATATTAAACTGTATTTTTTTGTTCCGCTTCACTTGACTGTAACAATTGAAATGGTCATATATGCATAGTTTGGATTTTATTGCATATTAATAATATATACAATGGGCCTTAAAGAAAAGTAAAAGTTTTATAGAAAATAATTAATTTTAAAGATAAAAAATTCAAATATTATGAATTTAAAATTTTAAAAACTATTGTCAGTTATTATTTTTTCTAATGTTTAGTGTTCGATATACATACATAGATTATAATTATGACAGTTTTCATTTTATATTAGCTTTGAATGCGTCTTTTAATTAAAAATGCTTTTATTATTTACCGTTTATTTCTCAAATTGAGCCACATAATAAATAATAAAAATTATCACACAGCAAATTGAAATAATTTTTACCTACATTTTATTTTTTTTTTTAATTTTTTAAATATCTGTCAAAATTGCCTAACAATATATAGCTGTTAGTTAAATGAATTATAATTAGAATTTAATTAGTAAATTTCACTAGAAAATAAGCAAATATTCATATTTACAATGAAGTGTGGCATGCTCAAATATGTACATTGTACATACTTTTGTGTATAGATTTAAAATCTGCACTTTATTAAAATAATGTGTAATCTATTATACGAATTTTTGTTAATGTTTCTATTGTTATATATATGTATGTGTATAAATAAAGCTTGAAAAGTTTTAGGGTTTAGAATGAAATCATACTCGGTTGCAGAAGCGATTGCTGGTAATTTCATAATTATAAGTGTTAGAAATAAATTTGCTTTTTTAAAGCCGAGGACTTTTTGGTTCTGGTATATAGTATGGCTAAAGGCAGAATGGCGAGTACAAAAGCCACAAAGTTTATATACCTTTAGTAACACGTATTTAAATATTTAACATAATATTTAATAAATATTTTCAACAATGTAAATTATTTTGAATTAATAGAAAAAATACACAAATACTTAAATAGTATTAACCACAAATGCTTTCACTAATATTCGCACTTAATATATACATAATTGTTTATTATTTTAATGTATTGCAATTAAATATTAATAATAGAACTAGTAAGTGTATTATTATATTTGACAATACCGAATATTATACACCCATTAGCAAAACTTTAGTTTTATATTTGGAAGAGGACCTCTTGTGGGTACTTGGGTTAATTATGGTTTTAAGGCTTCAAATTTGGTTCATAAAAAATTATTATTGTAAATTTTACCAAACTCAGACAGACGGATGTTACAAATGGAATCACGAAATCAATAGCCCCTTTACTCTTGATGTTGGGTACTAAAAGAGAAACAATTACATTGTTTGTCAATTTGTTAAGTGTGCTAAACTAGGAATTATTTAATTAAGGTTTTAGGCTAATATAAATTTGTAAATTTTTGGTAAATGGTAATTGATATTGACGCTACCTATGGACGGACGGACTTACGTACATACATGTAAAGCTTGTAATCAAACATTAAATCACAATTTAGATGTTGACTATAATTAATTTAATTAAAATTAAATTAAATTTGATACTTGAACTTCTGTTGTAACAAGATTTATTGAGAGTGATTATTTCATTTACCTTCCTTTAAAAAAATGACTTGAATATACATTCATAGTTAATTTATGAACTCTAGTTTAACTGTGAAATTTGGCTCAAATGTTTATCTGAAATTCGTTTGTGGCCAATATTGTGTTTGACTTTATGATTGCAATTTTGAACATTAATTTTTTTCTTCTCGTTTTTAATCTTGTTTGTTTCCTCATTCTCTTCAATTAATTCTTTAATTTAATAAACATACACTATAAATATTTTATTGCAACAAATACAAATAAAAAAAAAAAAAACATGATGTTAAATTTGTGTTATTTATATATTTATTTATAAACAAATATCAATAGAAATTTATGTTTTTTTGTTGTTGTTGCTGCCACTACTATTATAGTTATTTTTTTATGCTAAAGTTTGTATTTATAATCAAAAAATGTGTTAATTTATTATTTAGTTTGTTGTTTTTATATTAAAATACATATAAAATATTATATATTGCATGTGAACATGTAAATATGTTTATATATGCAATAGACTATATGTGTGTTTTGCTAGTATGTATGTATAGTTATTTATATTTTTGTTTAAATGAAATTTATTTATATTTATTTTTCATTCAAATGTATTTATAAAAAATACTATTTATTTGAGTTTTATTTTATATGTAAGTAGCAAAAAAAAAGTATTTTTTAATTAAATATTTATTCAAGTTCTTTTTCTTGATAAAAGAAAAAACTGTTTCAAATATTTATCAACCTAAAGAACTGACTTCCCAAAATATTACATTGATTCACAGCTGTATTTACCTACATATTTAAGTGAGACACTAAATAAATAATCACATAATTTTTTTTATATTATTTTATATTTAGCTATAATTTGTTAATATTTTAGTCAAATTTTATGACATTATAACTCAATTATTTGTCTAAAAATACATAATAATTTAAATAACAATTTATGTTGAAATTATATCAAATTTACCTGTCAATATGTATTTGTTTTCATGATAAATGTTTGAAATGTGTCCTTCTTAGTATGAGGGAATCTTTGTGGATTTTTCCCTTGAATATCATATAAAAATTTTATTGTTTATTTTATTATAAATGCGTATTAAAGTTATGTATGGTAATATTTTAAGAAAATATAATTAATTGTTGTCAGAAGGAAAGAGGGACACAATAATAGTTGCTGTCGTGAATGAAAAATGAAAACAAGTTCAAAGGAAATATGAAATGTGGAGAGATTTAGCTATTGACACTCGTTTTTCGAGAATGGTGTGAAAGGGGAAAAGAACTTTTATTCAATATATGTACGTATAATATTCGACTGTTCTATATAAAATTCAGTAGTTTATTATACCCTACACCACCTTAGTGGGGATGGTATATTGGGTTTGTGCTGATGTTTGTAACACAAAATAATATTGG